TCTGAGCACTGCTATTCTGTGGCTGCTGCACCTATTGGCTGATGTAAACAAACATGTACAGCTCCTCTTGGATAACACGTGCAGACACAGATCTGCATCGCACAGCGCTTTGTTCTCCTCGGTGGAGATGGGGAGGGGAGATAACATGGATTTTTATACTGCAACCACTTCTGCTTCAATGTAAATGATCTTTGTATTTTAAGAGATGAATAGCTTAATAGTTTACTGTATGTACATATTTTTGCTTCTTGCAAGTTGTTAGTCATACTCAAGAAGGGAGTAACTAAGTCTTTTATCACACATTCAGAGTGGGGGAAGCCTTTGTCTCAAAGGGAGGAATTGTGAAGTTCTACCAAACTCTTGTTACGGACCTTTTCCACAGTATTTGTAGATTTTACTCCTGTGGTAAATTGTCTTCACAAAAAAGGATTGTTTCTGCATGGAGCTAGTGTAATCCGAATTGGTAAACGAGCTATTGTGCCCTGAGTGGGTGGAGGAGCCAGATGACAAAAGGCGCAGTTACCTTTACAGTTTGTCCGCTGTACCTCATGCACTTTGTTTCAGAAGAAAAGCACTATTGAAAGACTCATATAAGAAGGCAGTCTTTCACACAGGGCTTGTGGGAAATTTCTCTCCAACTTGTGGGTTTTCAGCTTGTCTAGATTTACCTTGCACATTCACAGGCAGTCCGGAACAGCGCAGTGTTTCTGCACGGGGGAAGAAAAAGCACAAACCACACCTGTGGGGGTGAGCTTTTTCTAATCTGACACTTAACCAGTATTTTCCAATTTACATGTGTGCTTCCTTGGGGCTTTTTTGTTTACTTCTTAAAAATTGACTTCTAAGGGAAGTTGTTCATTGTTTCTTAAAAATTTCTGAGCTAGGATGTAACTTGGCCTTTTTAATTTTAGAGCTTAAGAACAGCATTAAGGAAGATTTTTTTTTTCTCAATTCAGTCTAGTAAGGCCAATTCTGAATATATTAGTATGCTTCTTACTTTTTAAGCTAGGCTTGAAACTTTCTTCTGTGCTAAATCTTCAGCTGCCTTCAGTTTCTTCCACGTATCTCACTATTTACTTTTCTTTCTCTCAGTGAGTAAGCACTTAAAAAAAAAAAAAATCCTTATCATGCTTGAAAACAAATCTGCTTTGCTTTGCTCCGCACCCCGTTTTTGGATTTGAAGCCCTTTCTCTGTAGGCTGGCAGATGAGCTGCTTTGTTTTGGGCAGAGCGGAGGGCTGAGGCCACCTGGGGTGAGCAGGCCTGGGCCTGGCTGTGGTGTCAGCACCTAGCATGGCAGCGACTGAACAGAGCCCTTGGCCCTGCAGCTGGCGGCCCAGCTATGAGCTCTGATGAACAGGCTCCAGCCCAGCTCAGTGCTTCTGAAATGAAACAGCTGAGGACTGGGGCTGTGGCCACCTAAGCTGTGTGTGCTGTGGAAGAGGTAGCTGCTGGAAGGAGGGCAGAACAGGTCTTTGGGTTGGGAGGCATCCTGGCTGGGTTTCGGTAGTAGCTTTCTTTGCCTGTTAGTTTTGTCCTTTGAAATTGTGTGTGCGTTGGAGAAATTTCCAGCGTCAGCCTGCTTAGGGCTCCTAATAACTACTTCAGAAGAGTAATTCCAGGGAACTTGCTGTAATGAACAGCTTTGGCTGCTTTAAGGAATAAGCTTAGCCTCTTGGTTAAACACTGTCAAGATGATTTTGCTCAGTGTCTCAGGCTGAGCAATGTGGTTTGTTGTAGTATTTTTTCTTGCTTGTTCACCCTCCCACTTCCCATCCCAACCTGCCGTTTTCTGCTCCTTTGGATCTTGTATTTCTGTTCATGACTATCACAAACCTGTTTGCAGATGTATACTCAGCATGGTGTTTTCGTTGCAGGCTTAGTTTTGTTGTATCATGTTGATGATTGCAACAACTTAAAATTCCCTTACTCTTGTGAGCTGCATTTAGGCTATCTGCATAAAAATATTATATGCCACTTTTTTTCACTGTTTCACATCATAACAAAGCTCTGGAAAAATTCCACCATATGCAAGTGAAACTAATACATGATTTGAGCTTTCTCTTGATATTTGCTTCTAACTACCAGACAGACCTATGGTTGTATTGGTCAGAACTGAAAAACAGCAGTCAAATGTCTTTTATTGCAATATCAAGTTTTCCAATTGGTAATTAAGCTGCTTTTTATTTTTGCTTTTTTTTTTTTTTCTTTTTTAATGCCACTTTCACTCTTACCTAGTGCCAGCTTGCTAGCTTTTCTCCTTGTCTTTGTGTCTCCCTCTTTTTCTGTCAGGCTATGAAACTATGTCTTGTGTGAGAGTTGTTGTTGGTCTTTTCTTTTTTTTCTTTTTTTTTTTTTCTCTTCCTATTAGTTTTCTCAAGGCTGCTTCAGTCTTGATGTTAAAGAAGGTTTTTCAGTAACTCGTGCCCCATCGGCTTGCCCTGTTTGCTGCCAAATGTGGTGTGTTCTCTCATTTTCTAACTTTAGGGCAGTGAGGGCAGAATTTGGGGAAGCAGTTCTGCCAGCTGCAAGATGAAGTTGTTGAACTGGATGGTAATATTGAAGAAAACAAAGCTGCTATTACATATTAGTGCTGAGCAGTGTTATTAGTTGCTGTCTGGGCTTTCCAAAGACTGTTAAAGTAACTGTTCTTCTGCCAGCTTCAGGTGGGATATGCAGCAGAGAGATGAAGCTATTGAGGAAACTGGATGCAGAGCAGGGAACAGTCAAATGTACTTACTAAGCAGCACTTCCTTTAAGTGATATGAATATGGAAAGAGTAACAGGTCTCATTCTTAGACAATATTAAAACCCAGTCATAGAAACAGCAAGACAGTCAAGCTGTGTGCTGTTGATGTAATGTAATGGTCACATTACACTGCATTGATCACAAATGCAGTTTAAATAGGCAGTAAATACTTTAGTACTTGTAACAGTTGACCATTCATGAATGTATACTTAACATATCTGATCTTATATTCCCATTACTGTCTTAAAAAAAAAAAAAAAATAACAAAACATTGGAGGAGTAAATAAACTCTAGTGTACCTTAAAGACTGTCTGATTCAGAGTAATTTAGACCATAAAGTCATGAGCAGAAATGTGTTCAAAACAGAAGTTCCTTGCCGAATAGGTGACCAGCAGCCTGACATGGGGTCTGCCCCTGCGTCTTGCCTTGTCGTTCTGCTTTTGAAAGCCTGTTGTCTTTGACCTGAAACTTACAGATATGAAGCTTTCATTTAGTCTGCAGTGAAGTCTGTATTTGTAGGAAGCCACTCTGCTCCTGCTGTGGTTTTGAGCTACTGAAGAAAATAATTGAACATGCTAATAATCTAATCTTACAATGTGAAGAAGTTTCCCTTTTATCTGTGAACAGCGGCACTGAATACTGCTGTGTGTGGCCACTGATGGTACTAAGTTCTTATTTTGAGTTTTTGCTAAATACTGTAATTTGTGTATCTCATGAAAACTTCTGAAAGTGAAACTAGAAGTTACCAGATCTGTTCATTTATGTGACTTGTATCCTATAAAGTAGCTACTACTAAAGACTTAAGCTGACTGAGCTCTGCACTATTAACTGTGGGACAGTTTTGAAGGTTTTTCTTTTTTTTTTTCTTTCTTTTTTTTTTTTTTTTTGTGGGGGTGATTTAGTGCAAGTAGTTAAAAGGGAATAAAAGACAATCTAAATAATAATGAATTTATGTGCTTAGGTAAACTGACAAAGGTTGCTACTGAGAATGACTTGAAGTGTTAAATGAAGGAAATGTAATTCTATTAAGCAAAGGTTTAAGGAAAGTTTTATGTCTGGTGGCCCTGATGAAATCATAGCAAAGCTGTGAAAACAACTTCTGTGAGACCTCAGCAAGACAGAATAATGCAGAATCAGTGTGACATGCTTTAACGCTACTTACAGCAGTACTTCAGTCAAACTTCTTGTGTAAAGCCTTCTTGAATTTGTACTTTCACATCTTCATTTTCAATGTTGTTTAAAAATAATCCTTGGTCAAGTTTGCAGGCAACCTAACGGAGAAACAATTAATCAGCTGTTAAGAGAGGTGTGCTGGTTACACTGGAAGATGCTGAACACTAGGAAAGTTGAGTGCAGATGGGCACTGGATAGACCAACTACTGACCTATGAAGCATCAGTAGTGTAGCCTGTGATTTTTGGTCTGTCCTTTCCTGGGATGGAGTGATATTGTGTGACTGATACAGAAACATATTAGGCTGCGTAATGGTTGAACATGTTGTCCCAGCATTATTTTGTGGACAAACAATTTATGCAGCCCTTGGTTCTGTAAGTGAGTAGGTCTGCAGAAGTACAGGATGTGGAGATTATCTCCTGTATTTTTTTTGTCTGACAGTTGGGACAGATTAAGGTCTGTGTACAGCAGTTCAGGGATGTGGTGCCTTGTTTGGAAGCTGTCATTCTGTGTCTACTCTTGCCCTAAAACAGCTTTGCCTGGGTTCTGTTGTATATGTGTGGTTTTTTTTTTTTTGTTTTTTTTTTTTTTTGTTGTTGTTCAAGAATTTTTTTTCATCCAACCTTTCCTTAGCTTTAGTTTATAAAAGTCCAGGCTTGTGTACATATAGCAGCAGTGAACAATGTAGCACCATTCTAATGCAATTCCTTATCAGCCCTTCCCTGCTTACAGAGCTCATGAATGAGGGATGTTCTTTCTGACCAGTTGTGTGCTGGAAATCATTCAGATGCGTTGCTATTTTTAAAGACAGCCTTTGTAGGGCAGGGTCCCTCCCTCCTTAAGTATATCTAGAAACCATTTGCTTTTCATGCAAACTGAAACTTGTATGGAATGTAGCTGAGGAATTCAACCAGTGTGCTACGAGCAGGCTTTCTTACACTGCCTTATTTTGTCCTGAGAGTCCATGTTTGGAAAAGGGGTTTTGAAGGGCTGTTCTCCCAGCAGTTGCTTACAGCATGTATGCATGCAGCCTATCAGCATGCCTTGTACCTTGGCTGTATAAACTGTAGGGCTGGCTCACAGACTGAGGCACCTAAATTTAGACGCCAGGGTGTGAGCTCATTGCCTGTGCTCCCATTATAGTCTGCGGAGACCTCATCAGTGGACCTGAAGAGCTGCTCAGCTGACTAAACGTAGGTATCTACTTTGGTGTGAGCACAGTCGTTCTTTAGTTACCCTTGGGTATAGGAGGAACTTAGGCAGCTGGGTGATTCATAACTTCCTAAATCAAGGTTTTGTTAACTGTGAACTGCATGACAGCATGTGCTGTCAGTTGGTTGCAGCCAGCTTTTAACTCGTGTTAATTTCTACTGAAGTTAACGTTTGTTTGCTTCCATAAATAACGTTTTCCTGCTGAACTGATTAAGGCAACTGAAACCAGTGTGTGGTGCTGCAGTGAGGGGGGAAGTTCGGAACAGGAGAAGCTGCTTGGAAGTGTGAAATGTCACTGTGGAGATCTGGGGTAACTTCTTAAACAGCAGAGAGTTCTTCAGTGCAGCAGCCTTGAGTTCAGTGCGGTTGGAGTAATTGCTGGTTATGTCAGATCAAGGAAGGGTCAGCTGCATCTCCGAGAGACTTAGTCCAAGTGTCCTTTCTTATTCCCTGTACTTCATATTATGTGGTTGCTTCTTTAATGGTTTCTTCGGAGCCAGAAAACATCTGCCTGGATGTGCAGATGTCTTAAATTTTGCTACATCATCAATATTGAGAGTACTTGCTAACCATGGGATGCATTCTATACTTAATTAGTGAAGTGACTGGAGAGAGGACAAAAACCTGAAGGGTGATGCTAAAGCAACTTGATGTCCTTAGTTAAGCCTTGCACACTGTGTAGAGCTCCCATAGAAATTCTTCCATCTTAATGCTTTACAGGGTGAATGTTTTTACAGCCTTTAATTTTATTTATGAAGATGAAGAGGCTTAGGTTAGGACAGGACTAGTTTGTACCACTGCAATAAATTAGTGAATCAGTGAAATACACAATAGGTGTCCTGTATGAATCCAGTTTGTAACCATCAGTTGTAAAATTTCTGATTCTGAGGTCAAGTGATTGGATTGTTTGAAGCATCCCTGCAGGTGCAGAGTTCAGGGGGTTTCTAGAAGGTGACTATAAACTCCCTTACCTCTCAAACTCCATGCATTTTTTTCTTCAGTGTTATATTCAGCAGGTGCTTGCCGTGTGGAGTGACACATCTTTGTGCTTCTCCCGTCTGCCTCAGAGAAATCTCTATTTTCAAACAGCAGTTTGTTTGTTTTGTGGCTTCTGCTTGAGAATTCATGAGTGGTCTAAAAATCAAAGGAGCTAAATCTTTCTGTATTAGAAGATTGGCATTCACTTCTCCAAATTACAACTGAAAAGTGGCTTAATTTCACAGACTGAATGTTATATTCATCTACGTCTGTAGAAATCAACTTTATTAGATGAGAAGATCTGTACACCTCAGTATTTTGAAAATGTGATATTGGAGTGGAAAAGTCATGTAATGTTCTCTTCAGATCTTGCTTATGTCAGAGTAGATTTTAAGCGCTAAGGAAATGTTTTTACATCTTCTTTGCTGTTCTAAATATACTTCGTTTAAGTTCGTTAGAAGAATGAATTCACATATGTAGTAGCTGCAAGTCCAAAATATGATTCAAAAGAAACCTGTAGCCTGAAAATAATTTGTTCAGTATGTAGCATTGAATAAGGGAGAACTCTGTATTTACTTGGGTTTATCATATTCACATTTTTGGGACTTCAATCTTGAAGTTTCAGCTGGAGGGTAACTATGGAAAGCAAAATGGTTCTTCAGACTGCAGATGCTCTCTCATAATATGTGCATTGCTTAGAGAAAAGAGTGATTCTGAAAGACCGTAGAATTACAAAATGGCTTGGGTTGGAAGGGATCTTTAAAGATCATCTAGTCCCAGCTCCTCCCACTAGACCAGGTTGCCCAGAGCCCCATCCAGCCTGGTCTTGAATGCCTCCAGAGATGAGGCATCTTCTCTGAGCAGCATGTGCCAGTGCTTGCCAACCTCACGGTGAAGAATTTCTTCTTTATATCTACATAAACCCTTTCATAGTTTGAAGCCATTACCTCTTGTCCTGTCCCTAAGCTTCCTATCAAAGAGTCCCTCCCCATCTTTAGGAGCTAGAAATACCCTCTAGGTACTAGAAGGCCACACTGAGGTCTCCCTAGAAACTTCTCTTTTCCAGGGTGAACATCCCCAGCTCTCAGCCTCTCTTCATTGGAGAGATGTTAAGGTTTGTGGTGTCTGACTGGCTGTGATGTTTCAGAGGTCTTGAAAGTGGCTGTATGTTTGTGAGCAGGTAAGTGCTAAGAACATGCTGCTATGTTATGTGTGTCTGTAGTGAACTTCATATGTGGAATATCATCTCAGCCTCTTGTAGCTCTTCAAAATGACAGCCAGCGTGCTGAGATATTAGGAAGGACTGTGTGTCTGTATTTATTATTGAAAAAGAAACAAAACTTAAGGTAAAAATTGTAATGAAGTTGTTAGTGCTGAGAACAAATATGTGTGGTTTGAGTTTCACCAAAATGAGGGTCAGAAGTGATGTGGGAGTCTGACAGTTCAAAGGAAGGAAGGTCTGAAAGCCAAAGATTTTGGTGGTTCTGGCAGGCGAAGGTGTGCATACATACATAGCTTCTAGTAGTTGCTTTTAACATGGCTTCTGTTTCTGACTGCTAGATCTCAAAAGCCACTTATGAGTCAATTTACTGAAAAGTGTTTTGTAATGACCATAAGTGATTTTCTTCCATCATCTCAAAATACCTTACTAAATAGTAGCTTCCAGATTAACCAAAAACTGGGTTTATGATGGATGAGGCTTCTGTGATGTGTGCTACTACAGATCAGCATCATGATGGTGCCTGGTTTCTCTTCAAGCGTAGAGGAGAAACACAGTTCTTTTTGTATGTGAATAAATCAGTCTAGATACAGTTTTTTTCAGTATCGAAGTTCAGAGAAGCTTGTGGGGATACTAGATGGTTTAGAGAAGTTGTGGGGGCTAAAAAAGATGCAGTTATTGAAGATAATGTACATACTATGCTTCTCAGAGCTTGGAGAATACATGCAGCCTTTCCTCAGATATTATTTTAGATAACTTAAATGTATATCTTCTGCACTGTCTTGCCTTAAAATAAGTGTGCTTGCATTCCTGCCCCAGGACAAGTGCCTTATTGTGAAGATTTTTGGTGAGCAGTGTTGCTGTCTGCAATGAGTGGCCTTTCATGGGCAGTATGGGAAGAACTTGGGAGCTGCCAGTGCCTTTGTTTTCAGAAAACTGTCTTTCATGAAGAAAAATCACCATGTTTCCAGTTGTCTTCTCCTGTTCTTTCCTTGTCTCTCTCCTGCCTCACACCTCAGTTTTTCCTACGAGGAGAAATGGGAAATGAATGAATTGCTGATTCTGTTTCTAGAATTGAATTGTGCGTGGTGCCTGAAGTGTTGTTGGAGGCGGTTTGGATTCTTTAGGTTGAATCAGAACAGCAAATAAAGCTGCTGCTCAGGCAGAAGTGTAGAGTATTTGCCTTACTTATCTGTTCAAATCTTGGATCTCTGAATCTTGAGTAATGTACCTGGCCATACTTCCTCTGGGGATTATGTGCTGCCAGATTCACTTTCCTGGTCACATGTGCAGCAGGCTGCCCACAGTAAAGCCAATGCTCTTGGGCTACACCTGGTATCTCAGATTTCTTTCAACCAGATTGTTGTATTGGAAAGAAAAATAAATAGTCTCATTGTACAGTTCTTAGGGCAATTGCATTTGTCACTGTTAGCTCCTTTAAAACTCTGCAAGGAATGAGTATGTTAATGTCCCTCTGCTGAAAGATTTTTGAATACTTTTAATTTATTTTCCCCTAGATGTTTGACTATTCATTTTAAACCAATTTTAAACGTGACGTGCTGTTGACTGGAAGGGAAGGGGAAAGCATGCATCGCTAATACTGCCAGTCATCTTTTCTGCTGTTTATTCAGTGTATAAATGATGCAGGTGATTGATTCCCTCTCCTGTGCCAATGCACCTTTAAACAACTGCCATTACTGAGGTATGCTGCAGTTTCACTTTCCGTAGCACACTATGCAGATCTAGTACACTTTTTTTTTTCTTCAAAACAAAAAGCTCTGCATTGACAGCAAACTACACCTCCCTGAAGGGGAATTGCAGCTGTGTGCTTCGGATGCATCAGTGGGGAGAACGGGAGTATACCTGCAGTCTCTTGGTACAGCTTTGAAGCGTTGAGAAGTTGATCCAGTGCTACAACAATTCAGTTCAAATTTATCTGAAGTTGAACTAGGTTGCATATGCTTCATCCCAAACTTCTTCATGAATTTACTAAGTAGTTCCTTGCCTTCTCCCCTCCCCTCCCCACCCCCCACCCCCACTTCCTGCATCATTGCAATGCACTGCTGCTGTTTTTCTCTTTAGGTTGTGTTTGGGTTAAGCAGTGATATAAACATGGGGAAAAGGTGATGAATGTACTGGTATAGACAGATATCAAGTTCTGCCTTGTTTTTTGTTTTAAAACAGTACTTAAGAGTTAAACTTGTAATTTAGGCTAAGGTTAGTAGTGATGCAAAACAGTCCTCTAAGAATCGTGTTGAATTAGACTGTATGTGTTTGTGAAGGGCTGAGGACGAGGACCTTGAGGACCTTCATGCTAAGTAGCTGTTCATTCTCATTACTTTGGATAGGTTAGGGAAGCATGTGTTATCGAGCTGTTTAATCAAGTGAAGCAGCTTCAAATGGGGCAACTAGATTTTGGATAGGTTTGAAATGCTTCTGAGTAATTTCTGAAGAGCACCCATGAAAATTTTTTTTCAATGCTTAGTGATGCTTTTTGATATCCTGAGCTGTAACGTTTTCTTAGAGTAGAATGCAGGCAACTACCAGGTGTTGTTTGAAAAGCTCATGAACTTCAAGGGGGGGAAAAAAATAAGAAATTATTATCTGAATAAAACTTTCCATCCTTAAAGCTATTAGTACTATCATAGATTCAGCTCAACTTGTTTCGTGTTCCTTCTTCTAGTTACAAATAGTGCTTTTGCCCCAAACTTAAAAAACGGTGGAGTTTGGGGGGGGGAGAAAAAAAAAATAAATAAAAATCCTATAATGAGCATTTCTATTACTTTAAGCTCTGAAAACTGCTTCCCAATTTAAAATATGGCTGGGACAGATGAAGCAAACTGATGTAGAGATGTCTGACGTTCTGTTTTGTAGCTCATTTTCAGGCAAAAAGTGTGGTATTTAGCTGATGTTAAGAAGCTGTTCAGACTCCAATTTAGGGTTTCAAGATCGAGGTGTTTACATTTAGAAATAAATGTCACCAGTATTAGTTTTGCTATTTCTGATTCCAGGTTGCCACATGCTATTGTTATATTAACAAATAGCACAGCCAACAAAGTATATTAAATATGGCAGGAGGTGCTATTAACTGCTTCTGTTGTTATCCATGGAGATGAGTTATAAAAGAAGAGCTCCACTTGGGTTTTGAAATGGAAAACACAACTTTGCTGCTCTACTTTCAGCAATCCAAGCCTGTAAGCTGTTACTTTCTTGACATAGCAGCTTTTTGAGGACTGCAGTGCAGCTTGCTAACAAATTCTGTTTAAAATGACCAATCCTTGTAACAAAATAATGCTTGTATGCTGTTGCACTGTGCAAATGTTCTCTGCAGCCTCCTTCCTGTCCTCCCGAGTCCCTCTGAGGTGAGATGGGTAAAATCAGTAATGGTCTTCCACCGTACTCTGCCTTTGAATAGCCTCACCAGAGAGGAGTCCTGTAGTGCTAGTTACAGTACTGAAAAGTTGAGATGGTTCTATTTTGACACTTCTGCAGAATTTGTATGGATATCTTTTCTACATAAACAAAAGGTACCAAAGGGCTGTATTTTCAAGAGGATGCTCATCTGGCTGTGGGTGCCCTCAGTTGTTGTCTGCTCTACCCACAGCTTATTCTGTTTTTACAAATGTTTGTGGAAGAAGGAGAGTGGACTGCATGAAGCAAAGTTTGGTGCACTTAAACAGCTGAACTTTCAACTTCTTGAGATGGAGAGGTGGCACTTAGCTTATCTTGAGTGGACACTTCTGTGGTTCTTCTGTTGTGCTCTAACTGCTTTTTATGGAGTGCTTAGTGATTTGGGCCAAGCTTTCTGTATGGGAATGTCTTCAGAAGCCAAGTCCTGTAATTTGCTTCTGCTTTTAAGCTCAGACCTTCCCATTAGAAATAGCTATTTCAAGAGTAGTTGTATCTCAAGCTGATGGTCATTTTCTGGAGATAACTGCTTGGTCTTGTCAAGTGGGGATTCTCAGGTGTTAGACCAGGAAAGCAGACACTGATGTTCTCACGTTCTAAGTCATGTTGTGCAGCCATTTGGACTAAAAAAGAAAAAGGAGTTGGTGGAATAGGCTGTAAATACTGAGTTGCGGCAGCGCAGCGAGCAGCAGCACGGTCAGAGCCTTCCTCTCTCTCCCATTTGAGTTTTGCTGCATGTTGCTGTCTCGCTTCCTGTCTGTTGCCATAAGCTTTATGGTTTCAAATAGGTGTTCTAAGGACATTCACGTAGTGGAGTGAGCTGTCTTTCAGGCAGCAGGTCACCACTGTATTTAGATTAAAAAAAAAAACTTTCAAACACTGTCACCTGGTCCCAAGTTATAGAACAAGTATTTCATATTTACATGCAAATCTAAACAGATTTTTACAGCCTATTCTTGCATTGTATGGTACTTAATACGGTTAACTTGGAATTCAGTCAGGATTCCTGTAGTTCATCTAGGAATTGCCAAATTCAGAGACAATAAGTAAACAAGTTGAGTATCCTCATTCCTGTAGTGTTGCAATACCTGTAAATTTCACATTCTGAATCGTATTGGCCTTTTTCCCAGTAAAGAAGTGTCTATGGACTTTCTTTAACTGTAATTACATATACTAAGAAGGAATTTAGTGTTCTCCCAAGGCCTCTGGCCTAGAGGCTAACAAAGTCCTTATGCTGACTCTGAAGCAGTCACTGTAAAGCACCTCTCAGCTGCCCTGGGAAGAGCAAAATGGCTGTTATGGTAAAGCTTTTGGTGTTATCTCTTGTAACTTTTTTCATCTCTGTTCTGGTAATAAATCACGTGCACAACAAGTCTTTATATTGTGCATGTCAGATATTGAGTAAGCAAAGGCTTCTGCTATTCTATGAAACTAACTCGAAGTGTGCTGTCTAGAAAGGAAGAAGCTTGGCACAGTGTATGTGAAGGGGATGTTTATTGTTGAGTATAGAGAGCTTGTTTGTGGAACTGTGGATGGTGGAAACAAAGTCAGCGCTCCCACCATCCATCAGAGCCTTGTCCTGAAGCACCACAGCACCAGAGAGAGAGTTGGAACCCAAAATGAGATACTGAAGTCTTGTTGAGGTTCAGTGCTTCCAGCTGTGCTGGTAAGAATATGGCAGTGACTTGTGACTGGTACAGCTATGGCAGTAGGAGTTCTCTAAGTGACCTATGAGCTTATACTGGCAAAACTCTAATTTTAGTGTAAGAAATTCAGAGATGCTAAGTTATGCCAGTAAATATTAGAACCTCCCTTTCCTTAAGTGGATGAACTGTACAGTTCATAGCTCAGCTGCCTCTACGATACTGCCTGTGCCTTTGGGTTATAAATCTTACGCTGCCCAGAGTGGGATGGGGTTGCCGAGGGCTCTTTGTCCAGCAGTTGGAAGGACAGCACAGTATAACCTCACTTCTTGTGCCCATGCAGTGGTGCGCACATTGTCTGCTCGGATTGTGGGAAGTGAGGGCTGTATGCTGATAAAACGCTGTTTTGGAGAATCAGGCTTCTCTTCTCGGGACTGTTGAACTGTTAACTCCTCATCACTTCAGGTTCTGCTTTGCCATGCCCTTTATTCTAGTAGCAGTGATTCACTGTCTGTGCTGCAGCCTATTTTGCCAGGTTAAAACAATCATCTTCACTCTGTTGTGGTTGTGCCACTGTAGCTGACTCTAGTTGGCTGTTAGCAGTGTTGGGTTACTTGTGAGAGGAAGGGTGTGGAGGAAATGTGATATGGCTTGACAAATGGACTGTAACCCTTTTAGACTGAACCTGCCGGGACATACATGCATAGTCAAGGCCATATGCTGCTTAAAGATTATTTTCTGTATGAAAAGAGAAGGGCATCTGGCGTACATAGCTAGCATAAGGTGGCTTGGGAAGTTGAAGTGTTCCAGGCCTGAGGCTTCGGCCTTTTGGAGTCTTGCCTGGTTTTGGGAAAGCTGGCGTGATTTGAGGCTGTTCTTTAA